AGGAGATTGAAAGAGGGTGTCAGAATCACAGAGAAACATGGGGAAGAGACTACAAGAGAGGCCAGATCATGTGGCCCACATCGTGGGCAATGACTGAAGACCACAGGGATGTAGGTAGTGCTGGCCACAAGATGTCCATAGCAATCCCTGGTGGAAAGGAGATACTTAAGCCTCAGGAGAAATTATTTGTGGCCTAACTTCCAAGAGACTAATGGTCCAAGTGAATAGGCTGGAAATGTTGGTTCTAGGACTACTACCACATGCTAGAAATTACTCTGTCCTTGGGAAAGTATCTTCGCCTCTCTGAACTCCATTTTTGCACATGTGTAAAGTAAGAGTAATACTCATCACAGAGTTGCTGTAAAGATGAAACAATATCAGGCATATGAGACACCTAGCTCAGAAGTGAACTATCGTGTACCTAGTTTCTTAGGCCTGGCATCAACTGAATGCTTCACAAAGCAAAGCATTCATTGTCTGATGAGAACAAAATCTACCCTTCCGTCAAATGAGGGGTAATGAAACTCTTCCCTCCCAGCCTCACTCTAGAAAGAATAAGGCAAGTTAGGACCATGGGTAAACATTCACACAGCCAGAAGGAAAGGGAAGCTACTGCCTCTGAATGAAAGAGATGACTTTCTGGTACAAGATGGCCTTGTCTGTAACTAGATGGCATGAGTCAGTGTCTCCATGGCCTGGTCTTTGGAGTATAAAACCAGAGAGCCACAGAGCTGAAATTAACACATGCATAAATCCTCCATCTGCCCACAACCACTAACCCTAACAGAGGTATTTACAAAGTGATCAACTTGCATATGGACCTCTTTGCAGAAGGCTGCTGTATCCTTGGTCTCCACGTTTGGAGGACATCCTCACTGTATATGGCTGACTCTTGGTGAATCCCAAGTGTACCACTGACCCAGGCTAATAACTAGACTATATGCTAAGGTTACACACTAAAAGTTTATAAGCTAAAGCCCACTGCAGTGTGTTCCACAAGGTGTTTTACAATTTTTAAATAAGTTGGCAGCATTTTGATATTTGGAAGATTTTGCCAAACATCCTGATGCCAACTTTTCTTAAAAAAAAAAAAAAAAAATTCCCACTGTGTATCAATCAATCAACTGGAGTTGAATGATACTGGCCCTTACCCCAGGAATCGGGGGAGGTATTCCATGGGTGGGCATAATTCACTCTCTAGTCCTTAAGAGCCCCACCCAAACTGCCTCACTCGTGCAGAGGTGTCAACAACATGTCAGGAACTAATAATATTGTACTTAATAATCACATCTGACAGGTATTAGAATAAGTAAGCTATTGGGGGGAGGGAATAAAGTTAGATATTTACCTCACAGCGTGTGCACACGCATATAACTTGCATTAAATATAAAAATTGAAATTATAAAATAACTGGTGGTGAACTGAGAGTGATTTTTATTTCATTTTTGTGTTTTACTGTATATTCTATAACACACACTAAATTTTCTATAGTAAATATGAACTTGGGCCAGGTGTGGTGGCTCACAATTGTAATCCCAAAACTTTAGGAAACAGATAGAAGGCTTGACCCAGGAGGTTGAGACCAGTCTGGGCAACATAGCAAGATCCCATCTCTACAAAACATTTGAAATATATATATAAATAAATAAATTGAAATATACATACATATATACTATATATGCAACATATATAATATGCACATATGTACATAAACTTTTACATTTATCTAAAATATTTTAAAAGATGAATTAGATAAAAAATTCAAAAGTTCAGGAACAGCAATATTTGCTCAGATATAAAAAATGGTTATACAGTAGAAACGACAGCAGTATTCCTTTTGATGAATTTCATATTATTTAACCCATGTGAATCTATTTCTGTCTTATGTATCTGGATTCTAGGCTAAAGGATTCAAAGGCATTACATCCCCTTAGGATATTTTACAGAACGTGTATTGTTAGGAATACTTCCTAACTCTTGAGATGACAAGATAAATGTATGGTATTCTTGTGGGTGGGACACAAAGAGAGGTAAGAAACAGGCAAATAACATTTAATAATATGATCCCAACATTTGTAGCAAATTTTGGTCACAAACGTAAACAGAGGCTCCATTTTCTCAAAGAAGAATTAGGTTCCTGGAAAATGCTAAGATAGTGTATGACCTTGATGGTTTTCAATGCCACTTCTATAACATGCATGATTTATCTGTTTACTTTAAACTAGAATAAGACCCTATATTTCAACCCAAATAAAGATTTGAAAATACTTTTGAAAGCTTAGTAAACTAAGAGTCAGAACCAGAGAAAGGGCTTAATTTGCATAAGAGGGCATTCAAAGTGGGTGAGAAGAAGGGGAAGGCATGGTATAAATAAAAGTCACCTGTGGAGTTTCTTCAACCATCAGGTTTCTCTTTTTCTCCCATCTAGGTTCCCCTTCAGGCTGTCCCACCTTCATAGCAGGAAATACCCCATTCTGGAGAATCAGTACTAAGATATCTCATCTCTCAGGTGATCTGAGAGGATATGTCCCAGTCAACATTCCTAACTTCTATCCCCATAAGGCTCTGAATTGTCAAGTGTGTTGACTGCTCAGCCCAAATTCCTTTCTAGGAAGTCATCCCACGCTCACAAGAAACATATTTGACACTTTGTGACTCCACTCCAATCACCACTGGTTGGACTAGGAGATGACTAACCAACTAAGGGCAGCCAATCCACAGCTGCAACCTCTGTGATGGGTTGGCATGAAAAGATAAGCAGAGCCGCATCCTGTTCTTAAGACTGTGTGTTTAGAAACACAAGAGATCGAAGCAGTAGGCAACAGATATATGGTGAAAACAGACAGGATAATAGGGTAAGAAGTCAGGGCAAAGTGAATGCACAAAGATGAAGACACGACAGTAGGCAAAAGCTATGAGACAGAGAAAAGACACACAGGATAATAGTGGAGATACAAACAGACACTCAAATCCAAGGACAACAGTGGAGTTCCAGAGGAAGGATCCATAAACTTTTACTGATGTGGTCTCTAGAGCTATCTTGGATCCATAATCAAAATCTGGTTCCAATTTTTATGAGACACCACTCCAATAAGACTCCTGTTTTTCAATTTTCATGGATATTATTTCCAATATCATTTCACACATATGCTTTCAATAATCTATCCCACCCCAACCCAAGCTAGCTTAAGTCTCTGGTCTATGCAATCAAGACAGCATACCCGGCTGGGCGCAGTGGCTACGCCTATAACCCCAGTCCTTTGGAGGCCCAGGCGGGCAGATTACCTGAGGTCAGGAGTTCAAGACCAGCCTGGCCAACATGGTGAAACCCCATCTCTACTAAAAATACAAAAATTAGCCAGGCATGGTGGCATGCATCTGCAATCCTAACTTCCCAGGAGGTTGAGGCAGGAGAATCTATGGAACCCAGGAGGCAGAGGCTGCAGTGAGCCGAGATCGCGCCACTGCACTCCAGCCTGGGTGACAGAGCAAGACTCTGTCTCAAAAAATAAAAAAGAAAGCGTACCTAAAACAATCTGATCTGTGAGCAGCCAAGGTCCAGGTCACAGAGCTCAACAAAATAGAGGTCAGACCATTCAATTCCCAGGGTGCTATAGCAAATTCTCCTACAATACTACACCAGGAAGACAAATGTGAATTGGAGTGGGTGAATTTTATGGTATATAAATTAAACCTTAACAAAGTGGTTAAAGGGGTCAGGAGAGGGGGACTAGAGACAAAGTATAGAGCAGAACAACTAAAATTGACACCCGAGAAATCTTCAAATAAAAACAGACTATAGTCTGAGTAAGGAAGAAGGCAGCCTACAAATCTCTTGAAGTCTATAAAATGAGATAAATCAATAGACTCTCGACCCCATTCTCTGGATCACAGGATGAGAACATACCCTTTAAAGTGTGAGAAGTGGTTTAAAAAAAATGAAGCGTTAAACATTAAACATTGAGAATTCATGTGCCTAAGACCTTCAAAACGGGTTTGGCACAACAAGCCATGCCCCACAGAGTACATCTTTTGGCGGCAGTGCCAAAGATATGACACTTGTGAAGGATGAACCACAGGTAAGTCCATTAGGGAAATAAAATTTATCTTTATTATTTTCTTCTAATTACAAAAATATACATTTTGTGTAAAATTTTCAAATACAAATTTTGAAATTGTGTAAAAATTTCAAAATAAATATTTTGAAAAGTGCAAGTTTCGCCATAATCTAGCCCCTGCAGAGAGCTACTGTTAAGGGTTTGGTAAGTATCCTTCCAGACACCTTTATCCGCATATATATTTTTATTACCCAAACACATTCATATCTTACAAAAATAGTCTGCAATTTGTTTTCTGTCTCTTAACATACCATACTTCCCTATACAATGGCATATATATTAAACAGTAGGTTTAACAGTTGCACAGTATTTCACAGCTTGGATGTTATCAGTTTATTTAACCATTCTCCTACTGACATTCAGGTTGTTGGTTTTTTTTTCATGAATATAAACATTTTAGTGAATATCAGTGACATGTATCTCACACACTGACATGACTATTTCTGTCAGATAAGTTCCTAGAAGTGTTACTATCAAAGTAGCATCCTCATTTGAGGATAGCAAGCTGGTCCTGATCATGCCAGTCTACTTTTAAGTAAATAAGACTCCAAATCTAACATGCAGGCTAGGCCATGAGGCAGAATAGTAGGGCTGAACCAGCTAAAGTCCTAGGGCTCCTGACTTTCCTTGTGAAGAAATCCATACAAGCACCTGGTGGAGGGGGCCAGTGTGAACTGCCAGTTCTTCTGCCCTCAAGCCAGTCAGAGGTTTCCATTTGCTTCCAAGCCTGGACAGCCTGACTCTGACAACAGATCATGTGGAAAGGCCAGAATAAAATATGTAGAATATAAGCAAAGAAACTGAGGCATGCAATTAATTCAGAAAGAGAGAGGAGGACATGAAAGATGCAAAGCTGTGTTTCTGTAAAACAGATTGATTTACCTGTTGCATAATGTAGTGAAATGGCACTGGATTTCATAGTGATCCCTCGGATCTGTTCATCTTCTCTGCTGTCCATGTACCTTAACTGGAAAAATGCAACATATGCATCTTCACTTTCCAAAGAATTAAAATGTAACATTAAAATTTGCTAATTTAGATTTTTGTTTTAAATATTTAAATTTTTACTTTTATTTATTTTTGCACAGACAGGGTCTCGCTATGTTGTCCACGCTAGTCTTGAACTCCTAGCCTCAAGTGATCCTCCCACTTTGGCCTCCCAAAGTGCTGAGATTACAGGTGTGAACCACCATGCCCACCAATACTTAAATTTTAAACTACATAGAGTCTATTTTTTTTTTTTTTTGAGACAGAGTCTTATTCTTTTGCCCAGGCTGGAATGCAGTGGCACAATCTCGGCTCACTGCAAACTCTGCTTCCCAGGTTCAAATGATTGTCTTGCCTCAGCCTCCCAAATAGCTGAGATTACAGGCATGTGCTAACATGCCTGGCTAATTTTTGTGTTTTTAGTAGAGACGGGGTTTCGCCACGTTGGCCAGGCTGGTCTTGAGTTCCTGACCTCAGGTGATCCACCCACCTCGGCCTCCAAAAGTGCTGGCATTGCGGGCATGAGCCACCACACCTAGCCCTCTCTTTTTTTTTTTTTTTTTTAAGATGATGGGGGTCTGGAGAAGTGAAGTTGGTTGAGGGGAAGGGAACATGACAAATTGAAAAACATTACCACTAGGAACTCATAAATGTATTCAAATACTGCATACCCTCCCCAGAGTGTTGCTCATCCAAGTATCAGCAATGAATGATGGGGCAGGTCAAGAACAGCTTACAGACAGCAACATTTGGGAGAATTCTTTCTAAATATCAAGAACATAGCCATTCTTTTCCTATTTACAAGCTGTTTGACAAATTCTGAGCAGAGACTGAAACAGAGGTCTCTAGAGGCAAGAGAAATCTTTATTCCTTTCCCAAATTAATAGATTTTGAATACATCTTTTTTAAAAAAAGAATACAGTAGAAAATATTTGTAGTATGACCATTTCGTTGATGACTTTCATAACACCGTAATATCCACCAATGAGGATCTACATCTCATTCTCTAGACTTTGCAGTGCATCAGTATTGACAGTGGTTTTGTTTAAATAAGATTCCATCCCTTTCCAATTCCTCAGCCCTAAGCACCAGACTAACTTCCTCCTCCTTTCTCCAGAATGATTTTCCCTTACCCTACCTCATTCTCTCCACTGTCAAACTTTTGAAAAATTTTTAACCTTTCTATTTACTCCTTTCTTTCATTCAAAAGCACTGAGAATTATCTGTTGATATGAACTGCCACATGTATTCATCCACATTAATTCCGAAATTTTCAGAAAGGCTTCCATTTCCGCAGCTCTGGCAAAATCAAAGCCCTAAAAGCTATCAATGACCTCTGGCCAAACACAGTAATAATTGTCAATCCTCACTTTTCTTGATTCCAGTGCAGCGTAACAGTCACCCTTTGTGTGCATGTGTGTTACATGCATATGTGAAATTCTTCCAAGAGTCTGAAATATCTTAATTTACCTCCATCTCTCCTTAGATCCCATTGCTGGTTTCCCTTCACCTCTCCAACCTCTCAGTCCTTCAAAAAGTTTCAGTCCCTTATCAGTCTTCTATAATGTATGTTTTTAAGCACTGGGTTGGTATGAAACATGTGTAATACATAAATAACAACACAATGAACCCCTATGTATGCACCATCCCATTTCAAAAGGAAAAAAAAAAGTTTGTTACTTTTGAAGTACCCTGTGCTCCTCCTGGCTTATAGGTAACCACTATCCTGAATTTTATCTTGATCATTTCCTTATTTTCTTTATAATTTTTAAAAATGAGTGTGTCCCTAAGCAATACATCATGTAGAGTGGCAAGTTTTAAGCCTTCTATAAGACTCACGCTTACTCTATTATACTGTCACTTTTTCTCTGCTCGATATTGTTTTCCTGAGATTCACCCATATTGATGTAATTCATTCATTTTTATTACTGTAGGACTCCACCTCACAAATCTACCACACCCATTCATCCATTGTATTACCGGTGGACATGGAGACGGATTCCAGTTTTCTGTAACTATTACTGAGCTGATATGAACAGTTGTGGGTCTCTTGTACACTCCCTACCAGTAGAATTTCTGAGTTATTAAATCTGTACATCCTAAACCTAACTTGATATTTCCGAATTATTTTCCAAATAGTTGGACTGATCCACAGTGGAATATTACTTTTTTTGATTCATAACCTCAACAGCTGATATTGCTGGACTTTATTTTTTAAGATGGGTGATAAATAGCATCTCATGGTTTTAATTTACATTTCTCCTATTATTAATGGGATTAAGTATCCTTTTACAAGTTTCTTGTATTGGCCATTTAACATTCCTTTTCTGTGAACTGCCTATACAAGGCTTTTGTCCACCTTTCTACTGGTTGTAATACAGATTTATTTTGTTTTGGATAAGAGTTATTTATAGTCTCTGAATTATAGTCCTTTGTCAATTACATCTGTGTTATTAATATTTTTCACAGTTACCAGGCTTGTTTTTTCCATTTCTTTCTGGCATATTTGATAAGTATGTTCTAATTTTAAGTAGTTTACTAACCTTTTATAAAAAAGTTTGCACATTTTTGTCTTAAGAAATCTTCCTTTAAAGTCATAAAAATATTAGCCCATATTATTTTCTAAAAGCTTTATAGTTTTGCTTTTAAATAAAAATATCTTAACCATGCAATTGATTTGTGTGTGAAGTAGAGGTCCAATTTTTTTTTTCCCACATGGATAACCAATTGCCCAAGAACCATTTGAAAGGTTCATCTTTTTTTTTTTTTTTTTTTTTTTTTGAGATGGAGTCTCGCTCTGTCGCCCAGGCTGGAGTGCAGTGGCACACCTCAGCTCACTGCAAGCTCTGCCTCCCAGGTTCATGCCATTCTCCTGCCTCAGCCTCCCGAGTAGCTGGGACTACAGGCACGTACCACCATGCCCGGCTAATTTTTTTATATTTTTAGTAGAGACGGGGTTTCACCGTGTTAGCCAGGATGGTCTCTATCCTCTGACCTGGTGATCTGCCTGCCTCGGCCTTCCAAAGTGCTGGAATTACAGGCGTGAGTCACCGCGCCTGGCCGAAAGGTTCATCTTTTTCCCACAGATCTGAAATTCCAGCCTACTATTCTAGGCTTACTATTCTGAGCCATCCAGTCAATTTCATGCCTCAGTCAATTCCAAGCCACAGGTTACAACACATCAATACATTCACAGTAAGTCTTGCCAGTGGGTAAGACGTATTTCCATACCCTACTCTTCTTTAGCCATGTCCCAGCTATTAATTGGTTTATTTGCTCTTCTGTATATATTTTAAAATCAGCATATCAAGTTGAAATTTTTAAATATCTGTTGGAATTTTTACTGGAATTCCTGAATCTATAGATCAATATTTTTTAAATGTCATTTAAAAAATACTGAGTCAGCCAATACATACATATGGCATATCCTTCCATTTATTTAAGTTTTCTCCAATATCTCGTAGGTGTTGTTGTTGTTTTGTTACTTTTTAAGAGATAGGGTCTTGTGCTATCCACCAGGCTGGAGTACAGTTGCTGTCACAGCTCACTGCAGCCTCAAACTCCTGGTTTCATGCAATTGTCCTACCTCAGTTTCCTAAGTAGCTTGGATTATAGGCACGAGCCACCATGCCCAGCACAGGTACATTTATTATGCTATTTAAATGGTTTATGTTTTTAAATAGATAATTTAAATACTGATCTATTTATTGCTCATGTATACTTCTTTTCAACGGTTTTCACATCCTGAAACCTGCCAAATTGTTACTAATATCCTAGCAATTTATCTACATTTTTGTTTTCTTCCTTTCCAAAATTCACACTTTTTATTTTTCTTTCCAGCTTTATCACTGCAACTAGAACCTCCAGTACAACCTAAAGGAGAAGTTATAACACAATGAGCAGAAGGGTGTGATGGCCATTCTTCCCTTATTCCTGGCTATGAATAGAAAAGCTTTTTAACACTTCATCATTGAGCTCAATCTTCATTCTAGGTTTTTTATAAATATCCCACATCAGATTACAGAAGTTCTCTTCTGTAACTACGTTGCAAAGAGGTTTTATCACAATAGATGTTGAATTTTACTACATGTCTTTATTATCTGTTGAAATGATCATGATTTTCTTCCTTTAATCTATTAATATAGTGAAATTACATGTTAAACCAATCTTGAATTCCTTGGGACAAACTCAATTTGGATATGAATAATCATCTTTTTATACTATGCTGAATTCTGTTTCTTAATAGGATTATAATTTTTGCATCCATAATCATAAGGTTGGTATATAATTCTCCTGTCTTGTATTATCCTTAACAGACTTTTGGTATCAAAGTTACGCTATCTTCATATGATTTGGAGAATACTGCCAATTGTTGCGTTTTTCTCTGCTATATTTTGAAATGGTTTAAGTAGGACTGAAATTATTCCTTGAATGTTTGGCAGAACTAGAGAGTTAAACCATATGGGTCTTTTCTTTATGGAAAGATTTTTGCCAACCAATTCAATTTTTTTTTTTTTTTTTTTTGAGATGGAGTCTCACTCAGTCGCCCAGGCTGGAGTGCAGTGGTGTGATCTTGGCTCACTGCAAGCTCCGCCTCCCGGGTTCACACCATTCTCCTGCCTCAGCCTCCTGAGTAGCTGGGACTACAGGCGCCCGCCACCACGCCTGGCTAATTTTTTGTATTTTTAGTAGAGACAGGGTTTCATCAATTTCTTAAACGACTATAGAATAATTCAAGTTTCCTATTTCTTCTTGACTCCATTTTAGTAAGTTATGTTTTCCAGACAATTTTCCAGTTTAGCACTTTTAAGTTTTAAGTTTACTGGCACAGAGTTGTTCATTATATCCTATTAATACCTTATTAACTTCTGTAGCATTTTTCTTTCCTAGTATCACTTATATCTGCCCCCTCTCTTTTCTTCTTGATCATCTTGCTGGTATTTTGTCAGTTGTATTACTCTTCTTTAAAGTCATTCATTCAAAAATATTTATTTATATATACTATGCTTTGTATATGTCCAAAGTACAGTGAGCCACACTAGGAACATTAACAGGTCAAAAGTGTCAAATGTTCCTCAACAATGTCAATGAAAAACAAAACAAAAACGTTTCCTAGTCAAGAAAATCAAAAATTATCTATATTGCTAGTAACTGTTTCAATTAATAACATTATATTTTTAGAGCAACTTTAAGTTTACAGAAAAATCGACTGAAGGTTCCCACATACTCTCTCCTTCCACCCACACAGTTTCCCCTATTATATCTATCTTGTATTAGTATATGGTGTGATACACTTGTTACAACTGATGAATCAATACTGATGCATTATGATTAATTAAAGCCCATAGTTTACATTAGGGTTCACTCTTTGTTTGTTAGCTGGGTTACTTTTTTCCAAAAACAAACTTCTGGCTTCATTGATCCTTTCTATAAAATGTCTATTTACTATTTCATTAATTTATGCTTTACTATTTCCTTTCATCTACTTATTTTAGAGTTATTGTACCTTCTCTAAATTCTCAAGTGGGGAAAATATAAGTATTTCATTATTTCACTCATCCTAGTTTTTTCAGCCTCCTCTAGATAGTATCTTGGGCCAGCTTCCCTCCCAACCCACACATCAATTCCCAAATCGACCTTCAACTCTACTGGGTCTACTCTGTGGATTCAATTTTACTTCTCCATCTCCTCTTCTCTTTGTTCTCTGTCACCTGATAAACCCTATTGATCATATCCTAAATTCATTATGGAAACGAATACATCTTTATTTTTCTACTGGCAAGTAAATTATTCCAAGCCCTTAAAACTCATAGCTACAAATAAAGATCTCTTTAATTTTATTTCCTCAAACACTATTTTCAGGCTAGGTGTGGTGGCTCACACCTGTAATTCTAGCACTTTGGGAAGTCAAGGCAGGAGGACTGCTTGAGCCCAGGAGTTCAAGATCAGCTTGGGGAACAAGGCAAAATCCTGTCTCTACAAAAAATTAGCCATGTGTGTTTGTGTGCACCTGTAGTCCCAGGTACCCAAGAGGAGGAGGTGGGAGGATCACCTGAGCCCAAGAGGGTGAGGCTGCAGTGAGCCGTGCATGATCACACCACTGCACTCTAGCCTGGGCAACAGAAAGAGATCCTGTCTCAAAAACAAAAATCAAAAACCCACTATTTTCATCACAATCCTCAGGCACAAGCAGCTTTCCTTTGATACTTAGGTTACCTTTTAAGGTCTTCTATAATCTACTCTCCCTGCCAGTATGTTTTCTCTGTCACTAGCCTCTAGGCAAATGCTCCACTCAAATAAAGCACAACACACAAGTTAGCCTTTATCTGTGTTATTCCTGACCACCTGGTAGTTTTTCTGTCTTCTCCTCAAACCACGCAACTTATTCACCTACAAGGAATCTCTTTCACTGTGAAATCTTCCAAAATTGTGTATCATTTGCTTGTTGCAAAAACTCACTTTTGCACTTATAAAATATTAATATAAAGCAATACAAAGCAATATAGAAGTAACTATTTTCTCATCAGCAATTTAATCTTGCAAAATGGATTGGCAGCTTTTAGATGCAAGAACAATGTTTTATACCCTTTTGGATCGCTAAAGAACACAGGAAATGGTTCATTACATTGTTGACTAAAATGCGACAAGTATTTATAAAATAAGAACATACCTTGCCTGCTAGGCGGCTGGAGATGATTCCATTGCTAGATATAAGACAGTCAGTCAGAGTAGTTTTTCCTGTTAAATAAAATAGGGATATCAATTCAAATCCATGTCTTTCTTAAAAGGGGTCATGGATCATACCTATAGATTTTAAATCTGGTCAGAAGAATTAGTTTAGTAAAGATTTTCAATTTACCTATGCTAGGTAACAAAAGACAAAAGAGATTTATTAGACTTTTGAACAGAATATCATCAGGAAGGACATAGATGCTAGCACTCTATAATGCTGTAATCTTATCTCCAACCCTGTGGATCTAATCACCCTCATCTGAAAAGTTGTGAAGCAACTTAAAGCCATTTCAAAAACAAAAAATTCAAGTTCTGGTTTAAAAAACAACATGACATACTATAAAGAAGAATGCTATTCACTAGGTAACTGTGTTCATTTCAAACGCTTTATAGCAAGGCAGGCTTCCCCAACATCACAGAAAACTTTTAAAGGAAAGAAGACTTGCTTCTTAGCAAACACCACTCTCAACTGCCCACAGCTTCACTCCACTGAGACATACAGAGACACACCTCCCTTATTTATCAAAACAAGCACTTAAAAAGGATTCTTACCATGGTCAACGTGAGCCAAAACACAAATATTCCTGATGTTGGCAGTGTTTTTCTGGAGATGAATCATCTTATCCAAACTGTTGAGCACCATGGTTACTTATTTCCTGTGACTAAAAATTAAGTAATTATTAGCCCAGAGGCTAAAGGTCGGGGCAAAAGAAAAAAAATAATAAACGCTAGGAGGTGGCAAGGCTTCTCAAACCCCTTAAACTAAGAACCCAGTGAATGTTTATTGATGAGACACACCACCTAGGCCTAAGTCCCGTTCGAGCACCAAAGTCAATATCCTAGCACGATTACACTTAAGGAGTTTGCTTATCCTTCCGGATCCGAAGGCTGCGATGAATCACGCAGCTCGAGGCGGCTGGGTGCGCAGTGACACCAGTAACCGTGCCGGTGGAGGAGTACTCGGGTAAACTTCTCCAGGCCAATGACTACGTACAGGAAGGGTTGCATGCAGGAGGGAGAGAAGATGCTGAAGAAGATGCTCCCTTTCTCTCTTCAGTCTTCCCCCAAGTCCCTCATCCTGACATTCTCGCTAGTCCTCGCGGGAGGTCGAATACCCAGCTTTATCCCTGTCCACGGAGCCCGAACAAAGTTTTGGGTCACGTGCTTATTATCCAAGCAGGTGCACTGCCGGTCTTTCATTCCTTTCTAAACAAAAAGGAAAAACCTCTACACTACATGCCCTTCATTTCGGCAGGGTCCCGGATTCGTTCTCTTTGAGAATCGCTGGTCCACACAGGCCACCGCCCCGGCGCCAGACTGGAAGCGACACTCCGGGGACCACCGCTCCCAGCCAGGGCTCGGCCCCAGGCCCCGTTCCCGCCTCAGAGCCGCAGCGAGCGAAGTCCTCCAAGCACCGCCCAGAGGCTGGCTGAGGAGGATGCAAGTCCCCAGCGCGAGCCCGCACTCACCGGCGGCAGCAGCCCCACCAGCCCAGCTTCTTCTCTCGGGTCGCAGCCAGCCACACCAAGAGCTTCCGAAACGCAAAGAACTCTGCGGGTTCCGCACGCCCGCGCGCCAGGGGGCGGGGCCGGCTGACGCTCGACCTTTCACCCGCGTGTCTCTGACGCCACCGGAAGCCGGCGCCGGGTCTGTCACCAGGCATTCCTCTGTTGCCTTGGCTACGGCGGGCGTTGTGGGAGTGGAGAAGCCGCAAGTGCTGAGGCAAGGTGGAGGAAGGCATGGGAGCCAAGAGCATGAGGAGCTGGTGTCTGTGTCAGATTTGTACCTGCGGGTAAGAAATGGCTGGTGTAGTGGCGGGCCGGGGCTTGGGAGCCGACCTAGGGCCTAGGTGCGCGGAGCTGGCTCCTCGGGAACCCTGAGAATGGCCGTCCCCCGCAGATCAAGGGACGAGGACGCAGCGACATCCCCACTTATCCCGTTCCACGAATACTCGCTCCGCACCCGCCGGCTACCTGGGGGTAAAACGTTTCTTCGTAGCCCCTGAGACTCCCAATCAAGGATGCAAAGTAAAATGCCACCCAGGCCGGGTAAATAATATATGTGAAGCAGCGACGGGATATAAGACTGGTGAGTAGTGGGATGTGATCCGACTGGGAGAATGCATTTCCACCCCGTCATCCCTCACCACAAAGATGAGAAAGAACAGTGCTCAAGGCCCTGAGTCTGCAACCCATATCACACTTTCTTTCATCTGCTTTCTGTCCTCCCAGCCAGACCATATTCGCATTCCCGTCCCGTTCTTTGGGATCCGCCTGACTGAAAAGGCAGTATAGTAGTCCCCACCCTGAAACCTAGAATCCAACTGAGTCTTGCCTAACAACCTTCCATCACCTAGAAACACAGTCTTCTCCTTCCTCAGCTTCACTGTTGACCCAGGGATTAGATCATTATTTGCTAAGTAAATATGAAAGTGTCAATCCCTTCGTATTTGTAATCCCCTTCAAAGAAAACACCTGCATGTTGATGGAAAGCACTTGTTTTGATAGTCTCATAATAAACACAGTTCGTAATTAGAAGTAGATTAAAATATCAACAAATTAACTTTGGGTGTATGAATCTGCAGACTGGTGTGCAGGAGACAATTTTTACTTTTTTCCTAATTTACATTCAACGCAAGTTCCTTTCTCATTCAACTGTTGGGAAATTCAGTCTTCATTATGTTGAGGGCTACCCTTGGAATGGTGTGATTTTACTTTTTCTTTGTTTTTGGTTGTGATTGTTTTGTTTTTTAAGGGTTTTATTTTTATTTTTTGATAATGCAATAAATACACAAGAGGTGTCATAAAAATCCATAATATTGTAAAATATCTATATTATAAAACACTTTCATAATTCTATCTTCCACAGATAACAAATGTTCTTTAAGACTTGTTTTACATATGCATTGATTTTTTTTTTTTTTTTTTTTGAGACAGAGTCTCACTCCGTCGCCAGGCTGCAGTGCAGTGGCGTAATCTCAGCTCACTGCAATCTCTTGATTTGCAAGCTGGTTTCCTAACTTGGCAGCTTCTTGACCATGGAAGAGACGAGTGATTCTGGAGTCTACAGCTCTGTTGCAATTTTCTGATTATGGCAGAGGCAGTGGCCTCTTGTCAGTCCTGTTCTGTGGTAAAATTTTTGGAAGTTTTTCCTGGAAGCTTATTTTGAAAATGATTTCTTAAGTTCTTCCAAGTGAACTCTCTCTCTCTCTCTATAAACACGCCTTAATAAATTCCTTTTTGCCTAAACTAATGAAAGGAGGTTATGTTATCCATAACTAAGAACCTTGACCAATATATCATATAAGCTAATAGTATACAGCTATTTAAGAGAATGAGGGTGACCTTTATGCATGGTCACTGGAAGATGGTGAGATTGTAAATAGTAAAAAACTGGATTGTAGAATAGTATGCTCAGAATATTCTCTTTTTAAAAAAATAAAATAAAATCGATGCAGGCCAGGCGCAGTGGAAGAACTTGCAAATCAAGATGCCACCTAACAACTTCTAACTCCAATCTCTTGTTGCCTCTATTACATTCATGCAAGCAAAAAAGTCAATGCCTTGACTCTCTCCTTATGTAGCTCTGTTCTGAGTCAAAGTATCATGTGAATACATGTAGCAGGTGAAACCTAATTTCTATGTGGAACCTTTCTGCAAGAGCCTGGGAAATTCCTTATTAGTTTTTCAGCTTCTATAGTGTAACAAGACACTGAATTGTTATGAGACACTTAATTGCTGTGCTTCCACCACATAGGGATAGACCATTATTTATAGATTGTTGTTGTAAACATCATTACAGAGGAAACAGTTTTTGGGTTTTTTTTGTTTTTGTTTTTGTTTTTTTTGAGACAGAGTCTTGCTGGGTTGCCCAGGCTGGAGTGCAGTGGCACGATCTTGGCTCACTGCAAGCTCCACCTCCCAGGTTCACCCCATTCCCCTGCCTCAGCCTCCTGAGTAGCTGGGACTAGAGACACCTGCCACCAAGCCCGGCTAATTTTTTTTGTATTTTTAGTAGAGACAGGGTTTCACCCTGTCAGTCAGGATGATCTCGGTCTCCTGACTTTGTGATCTGCCCGCCTCAGCCTCCCAAAGTGCTGGGATTACAGGCGTGAGCCGCTGCACCCAGCCCAGTTTTTGGTTTTTCAGTAAAGCTCTAGAATTTAGAAACTGTGAGTTTATTGGAGGTCTCTGATTAAAATGCAATTACAACACAAAATGTTTTTTGAGGTTAATCTATCCATTGATTTTTTGCACAGGCGACATCATTGTCCACATGGAATCACAAGGATTTATGAAAATTCTGGGGTGTTTTGCCCTACAACTGAATATTTGGAAAAATATCCTATGTATGACAATGTTCTTCCAGCTCAGAGTCTTAAACCCAAGCAAGAAATTCAAGCATGCTGTGGTAAAATGGAAGGAATAACTACATTTAAGTAAATATTTAGTAACTATTTGCTTTACTTATTTTTCTCCCAACTCTTCTGGTGTCAATAAAATTTTCTAGCTATTTAAATTACTGTTTACTTGATTTAAGTTGAACCAATTTAATAGGCAACAGACTAGTTAAGTCACAACTTGAAAAAAAAAACAGAAAAATACGAATTAAGTTAGGTTGACAAAGTGTGAGAAGAAAAAAGGGATATAAAAAGTTCTATTTTTTTTTTTAACGTCCTAAAATATCTCATATTTATCTACTTTCCACTGTTACCACCACCAAAAAAAAAAAAAATCACAGGAAAATCTCATAATGTTTTAAGGAAGTTTATGAATTTATGTTGGACCTCATTCAAAGCCGTCCTGGGCCGCACGCAGCCCATAGGCTGCAGGTTGGACAAGCTTAACCTAGAGGTTATAATAATATCTGAATCTACTCTGGTTTTTGCAGTTTGATCTGTTTTCAATACTTCAGCCTGCCCAAATGATTTTAAAATGGAAACCAAACCCTATCACTTCTTTGCTTAAAATACCCTTAAACTTTCTCATTGTGTTTAACACAAACCAGAATCCTTATCAAAACCATGTAGAGGCATGGTTTGCTTACTACTTAATTCTCTAATTCATTTTCACTGTAGTGCCCTTTTCACTTTTATGCTCCATCCCATGGGCCATTTTTCATTTCCTTGAAAGTGCCAGGTTTCCCTTATCTCAGAGTCTTCCAAGATACTATTTTCCCTACCTGCAATTTTCCTTCCCTCTCTTAGCTAATGCTCATTCAATCTGTAGATCTCAACTAAATTATCACTTGAATAAGCCTTCTCTGACACTTCATCCAGTTTTCAGATTAGGTAAAATTCTTCTATGTAAGCTCCCAAAGCACCTTCCTGTTATTTATCATTAGATTGGTTTCAGTGTTTCATGAAAGCAGGAACTAAGTCTTTTGTTATCTCAGCATTCTATTTTTAGAAAACTAATAACAATGCCTACTAGCACATAGTAGGTACCCAATATTTGTTCAGTGAGTGATGAACACAAATCTTAAGCCTATACTTTTCATTTGGACTAACCTTTTTTGATCTCTCTGTATTTTTGTCAGTTAGCTAGATTATGTATTATATTTACTCATTATTTTATTTAAACTCTTAATGTATATACTATATTCAAGGTACAATCTTGGTGTTAAGTATAAAAATGTCAATAAGTTTATGAACCCCAAATATCTGAAGTAGGTCTCAGTTAATTTAGAAAGTTCATTTTGCCAAGATTGAGGGTGCGTGCTGGTGACACAGCCTCAGGAGGTCCCAATAATATGTGCCGAAGGTGGTCAGAGCACAGTTTGGTTTTATACGTTTTAGGGAGACACACGTCAATCAACATGTATGTAAGATGAATATTGGTTCGTTCTGGAAAGGCGGGACAACTCGAAGCTGGGAGTGAGCTTGCAGGTCATAGGTAGATAAGAGACAAATGGTTGCATTCTTTTGAGTTTCTGATGAGCTTCTCCAAAGGAAGCAATCAGATACACATTTATCTCAGTGAGCAGAGGGGTGACTTTGAAGATAATGGGAGACAGGTTTGCCCTAAGCAGTTCCCAGCTTCACTTTTCCCCTTAGCTTAGTGATTTTGGGGCCCCAAGATTTATCTTCCTTTCACAAGTTGAAGTTCCTGCTTCCTAGTGACTTGTACATCATATTTCTATAATTTAGAGTTTTAAAAATGCTCT